AAAAAAAAAGATTTCTTGTGTTTAGCTTTTTTCTTGGTGTGTGCATGAATTTTGAGACTAGGGACAAAATTGAAAGGTGAAACTAAAAGATAGCTGAAATGCTTTGCAACCTTGCAGAATATTATGCTTCTAGGTTAAAGTAAAAGTTAATGAGGTAGATAGGTTCCTGAAATATATTTACTTAAATTCTTTTCCAGTTTTATAGAAAATTAGTTAATATCTTTTAAGGATTTAGTTTTTCCATTAGACTCGTAGAAATATTTAAATTCAAATGTTTTGTTCTTTCCATCAGACTCAAAAGTCTAATAGTGAGGTATATTGGAGATAAGGAGATCCACTGTGTACTTATGTAACTTTTCTTTAACTTATTTGGTAACTGGTCACCAGAACTATTTATCCTTATAATTTTATTTTTTGCTTTTAGCAAAGTGTGGGATGCTGTCTCGGGAGATGAATTGATGACCCTGGCCCATAAACATATCGTCAAGAGCGTGGATTTTACTCAGGTATCAGAAAATGAAATTCATTTTAAGGCGTTACATTCTTGTTATTAAAGGGTATGACAAGGGTCTTGTCATTAGGTAAATCAGCTGCACCAAGGGTCTTGTGTTTGGTTAGCTGTATTCTACCACTGCCACCACCACCAGTTGCCATTGAATTAGTTTTGACTCATGGTGACTTGCGTGGTCAGGCCTTCTAGGTAAACTTGAACTTACAACTTTTTGGATAGAATCCAAACACATTAGACTGCCATCACTGCTATATATTTTTATTTCTAGTTAATTATTTGAGATTTTTAAGTACCCTCGAATTTATATATAAAAAAATTTCTTGAAATCTTATACTTTCCCAGCTACATTCAGAAAATAAACTTGAGGTCCTCAAAGAGGTACTACTTAGGAGAGAGGGAAATTGATCAGATATACAGTATTTATATTGGGAAGCTTAAAGGAATTTGATCATTGTGAGACAAGCAACATCTTGCCAGTGTCGTCTTCAAATAAGCGATGTAATATTGCATGTTTCTGAACTCTGGGAACTTTATTTGAATAAAATGAAGTTGAAGAAATATTAAAGTGGCTAACAGTTTACTTGTGTGTGTTTTTAGGATAGTAATTATTTGTTAACTGGAGGACAAGATAAACTGTTACGCATCTATGACTTGAACAAACCTGAAGCAGGTAAGTGTCATACATCCGTTTGGTTTTATTTTCTCTTCCTTTAAATGGCTTCATGATAAAGAGAATTACGAGGTGGGTACCCGAAAAACTCAGCTGAGCATTTCTTCCGCTAGGCAAGCATCAAGCAACTTGCCCTGAGTTATAGTTCACCTCGTGGCGTTGCCTGGGGAGGTTCTCTGGTCACAGTGACTTTTTTCATAAAAGCTGTTTTGCTTGAACTTCGTTTTTTGTGATGGTCGATTTTAAGAGAACAGTGTGTGGCTTTGAAGTTTTGTTTCCTGCTTGGGAAAAATGCTATGGAAATTGTTGTGATGTTGATCTGAGTGCTATGGGAAAAACTCAAGTATACGAGTGATTTTCTCATTTAAGGTGAAATGTCGGTTGATGACATACTCATTCTGGACATCCGTCAACTTCCCGATGGATGAAAATGTAGACTTGTAGTGCATTTGGAGTTTGTTCCACCAAGTCCGATTAGCAAGCTTTCTACTTAGAGGTTTGAAAAAATTGCTTAACAGTATGCAACAAAAAAGGCCTTATTTGTGGCAGACTGGGAACTGGTTTTGCTACTATGACAATGCACGTGGTCACGAAGCCATCTCAGTGCAGCAGTTTGTTTCCACGAAGGAAGAGGGACACGAAAGGACAGTGATTTGATGATGTAGAAGAGGTGAAGGAAAAAATGAGGGAGGTGATGTCAGCCATCCAAACAGATGAGTTTAAAAAAGATTTCCAGCAGTGGAATCGCAGATTTGACATGTACTAAATGTAATGGAGGGTACTTTGAAGGTGATAAGGTGCTTTTATTAAAATTTTTAAATACAAGCATTAGGGGGGAAAAAATCCTGGGGGCTTTTTGGGGTGACAAACCCTCGTAAAAATCCATTTGTATAATACAATATACTTTTATAACCTGCTTATAAATTAAAATCTTATTCTGATAATGTTTTTCACTTTTATAATTTTAATTTTGAGAATAAATTTTGGGGGGGAAATGTAGAACAGCAATCCTACCATTTAGTTAAAAAGATGATCCTCTCTAGAAGGTCATGTGGGTGAGAATTCACAGTGTACATATTTTCTACTGTTTAGATTTTTGAATCATGTGAACGTATTATCTAGTCAAAAGAATTTTTTAAATACCCATTAAATACTCTAGAGTTTTTTTTTTTAATCATTTTATTGGGGGCTCGTACAATTCTTAACACAATCCATACATACATCCATTGTGTCAGCACATTTGTACGTTTGTTGCCATCACAGTTCTCAAAGCATTTGCTTTCTACTTGCGCTCTTGGTATCAGCTCCTCATTTTCCCCCTCCCCACCACCCCCTTCCTCATGAACCCTTGATAATTTATAAACTATTGTTTTGTTATGTCTTACACTGTCCGATGTCTCCCTTTGCCCACTTTTCTGTTGTTCGTCTTCCAGGGAGGAGGTAAATCTTTGTAGATCCTTGTAATCGATTCCCCCTTTCTACCTCACCTTCCATCCACCCTCCCTGTATTGCCATTCTCAGCACTGGTCCTGAGGGGTTCATCTTTTCCTGGATTTCCTGTGTTTCCAGTTCCTATCTGTACCAGTGTACATCCTCTGGTGTAGCCAGATGTGTAAGGTAGAATTGGGATCATGATAGTGGGGTGGGTGGGTGGGTGGGGAGCACTGAAGAACTAGAGGAAAGTTGTATGTTTCATCGTTCTATACTGCACCCCAACTGGCACGTCTCCTCTCCATGACCCTTCTGTAAGGGGATGTCCAGTTGCCTACAGGTGGGCTTTGGGTCCCCACTCCACACTTCCCCTCATTCACAATGATAGGATTTTTTGTTCTTTGATACCTGATACCTGATCCCATCGACACCTCATAATCACACAGACTGGTGTACTTCCATTTGGCTTGGGTGCTCCTGAGCTAGATGGCTGCTTGTTTATCTTCAAGCCTATAAGACCCCAGCGGTATATCTTTTGATATAGCGGCACCATCAGCTTTCATCACCACATTTGCTTATGCACCCACTTTGTCTTCAGCAATAGTATCGGGAAGGTGAGCATCATGGAATGCCAGTTTAATAGAACAAAGTATTCTTGCATTGAGGGAGTGCTTGAGTGGAGGCTCAATGTCCATCTGCTACCTTAATACTAAACCTATAAATATATGCACATATATTTCCCCATCATCATACATAAATACATTTACATATGTACATGCCTTTATTTAGACCTCTATAAATGTCCTTTGTCTCCTAGTTCTGTCCTCTATTTCCTTTGACTTTCCTCTTGTCCCACTATTATGCTCAGTCTTCATTTGGGTTTCAGTATTCCTCTCAGTTACATTACCCTTGATCACGCCATACCAGGCCTCCTACACCCTCACCACCAATTTGGATCACTTGTTCCCTTGTCCCTGGGTTTCTTAACACCACCCCCGCCCCTCCCATGTCCCCCTGGGACAGTCGGTCCCGTTGTTTTTATCTTTGTACTTTCTAACCGGTCAAGTAATTTATCAGTTTTTATTTTTCCTGGTCATCTCTTAACTGTCATACTATGGCTTGTGTGTTGCTCTTATGCCCTTAAGCCCTACCAGGCCTACTCTAGAGACATTTTAATGATTGTGTGACACGCTATTTACCAATCTTCAGATCATGTCCTGTTTTTTTTAAAAATCATTTTATTAGGGGCTCATACAACTCTTTTCACAATCCATACATACATCAATTGTGTAAAGCACATTTGTACATTCATTGCCCTCATCATTCTCAAAACAGTTGCTCTCCACTTAAGCCCCTGGCATCAGCTCGTTCCCCCCTCCCCTCCCTCATGAACCTTTGATAATTTATAAATTACTATTTTGTCATATCTTACACTGTCCGTTTCCCTTCACCCACTTTTCTGTTGTCCATCCCCCAGGGAGGAGGTTATATGTAGATCTTTGTAATCTGTTCCCCCTTTCCACTCCACCCGCCTGGTATCGCCACTCTCACCACTGGTCCTGAAGGGATCATCCGCCCTGGATTAATAATTACAGAGTAATTAATAATTACTAAGTGTATTTGTTGGGACTAAGGCAGGTGCACCTGGATATGGGGGGACCACCCTTCACAACCGAATGGGTCCAAGGGGATGGTTGTGTAACTGAGGGGTAAATTATAGAGACATGAGACAAGGCATGCAATAGCTCACCTCCACCATGGCTTGAGGAACCTGTTGGAGCAGAGAGAGAGCATAATTATTCTCATGAGTTTATATAATCTCAGGCACGCAAACCACAGAAAGCACATGCTTACCAAGAAGCGGTTGTGTTACAGGCACACTTGTCAGAGGAGGGGGACTAGCTAGGGGCATACGTGCAATAGGAAGGGGAGGCTGTAGAGCCATGCATGTGATGGGAAGGTACATTCACAACAAGGTGGGTGGATTCTAGAGTCTAGTTGGCAGCCTAACCTTGGTTGGCTCTGAGCTGGCTTGACCTTAGGTGTCTTTGAACTCTTCTCCAAGGGGATAGAAGGGAGTGGGCCCTGTTTAGGACAGACAATAGGGACTGATTGCTTTTGATGGCAGATAGCCTTCAAGCAGTTGACCCTCAAGTACATAGTAAGCGACCTTAAATTTGGCGATATTATGGGGGGACATTGAGGAGAATGACTTTTACATAGGAGAGTGTGGGCCCCAGCCTCCCAGTTTCCTTACTGCATGGTGTTTGTCTGCATACACTCTCCTCCCGGTTCTCACACCTGGAAGTATTTTATTACCCATAGTACTTACAGATATTACCCAAATCCCCTTCAGCAAAGTATAAAAATATTTATAGCTAACCTTTTCTCGATAACACCAGTAACTATATCTTTTCTGGCGTATTAGAAAAATGGTAGGTATTCCTACCCTTCAAGCTTGGAACTGAACTCACCCCTGTGGCTGAGCTTTCAGCCAAAGAACAGATGGGCACAGCAGGCAAACAGTAACACTAGGGGGTAGTTTTTTTCAGAATAGTTAGCTATTCTAGAAGTAAATTTCAGCATTTGTTCAGGAATAACACTTTTCTTGAAAGCAGGAAGGGGTGAGGGGGGTGGGTTGAGTCTGAAAGAAGTGCTGTTACATAATCATTGTCCCAAAACAAATGTGTATGAATTGTTGAATGGGAAACTAAGTTGCTCTGTAAACATTCACATTAAAAGTTTGTTTGTTTTTTAATTAGTTTGGAGGATGTAGTATATTCACTCCCTGCTACATAGAATGTCACATTTATTGCACATAAGTTTTTGTTCAATATAGGAAAACAAATTATTCTAGATAAATATTTTGAATCATGTTGAGCTTTGACAGTTGCATTCAAATTAAGAATGTATTTTTCTGTACTTTTTACATGTGTAAATTTTTCTAGTATTTGAAAAGTCAAATAAATGGTTTTATTTTTAGAACCTAAAGAAATTAGTGGCCACACTTCTGGTATTAAAAAGGCTCTATGGTGCAGTGAGGATAAGCAAATTCTTTCAGCTGATGATAAAACTGTTCGGTAAGTAATTTTCCTTTAGTAAGTTAAACCTTTAAAACATTTAAAAAATGTATTTTATGATAATGTGCAGGAAGGACGCCCTCTGGTGGCGTAGTGGTTCCATGTTGGGCATGCCACCTATAAGGTCAGCAGTGTGAAACCACCAGCTGCTCTCGGGGAGAAAGAGGAGGCTTTCTGCTCCTGTAAAGATTCACAGTCTTGGAAACCTACAGGGCCAGTTTCTATCATAGGGCTGCCAGGAGTTGGAACCAACTTGATGGCAGTGAGTGTGAGTTAATTGTCCCTTTATATAAAATTTTAATTGCACATTTAAGTAACAGCATAAAAGCATTGCTACAAAGTTGTAGAAACTTTTATTAAACAAAAATATCAAAATTTGAATCCATTGTTTCTCAACATAGCCTCCATCTAGGTCCATACATTTCAGAAAGTGGCACTGTTCCATCTTTCTAAGCCTTCCCTGAAAGACTGCCCTCTCAGATGTACAAATTGTCAGTATGACAGTCTGGGCATCAAGCAATCTGAAGAGGACCTGATCAGGCTGTAAAGGGGATAGGGTTTCCCATCAAAATTCTCGTAGGACGGGTGTAGGCACCCTTGCAGAATGAGTAGATGCATCGTCAGGATGGTAGGAAATTCCTACACATAAATTTCCTGACCCTTTTCTCACCAATGCAATTTTGTGTTTTCTTTTTAAAATTTCCTAGTAAGTCCCTGTTAATTCTGTCCCCTGTAAGAGAATCTGTCATGATGACCCCTTCCCAATAAACATTTGTTTACCTTTCTGAAGTGATCTCTGCCTTGAATTGAAACTAAATTGGTGAATACAAGGTGGGTCCCTGGTTACATTTCATTCCATAAAAGTATCTTCATTAGCTTTTCTTTTTTTAAGACTCACGAAAGATCAGCTCTGTAAGCTAGCTGATCTTTGAGCGATGCTTTTGCCACCGTGTTAGGTCGGATTGACGAGAGAAACAAATCCGGGAGCACTCGTGTGTCCGAAGAGCTTAATATCAAGAAGTAATTATAAAGGGGCTTGGTCCAGCTTGCAAAGGGCACCATGCTCCTCCATCTGTGGGAAATTCCTGTGGCCGAACCAAGGGCCCTCCCCTCCTCACCCCTGTCCCCTGATCCACCTAAGGCTACTTGCCTGTCTACCGTGATGGCACTCAACCCTGCACCAGAGCGACTCAGACATGTTTAAAAGAGGTGTAATCCCCAAGATAATGAGAGAAGGCCTGAGAGATGTTCTGAACAACCAAGATTTTACCAAATGTAGCAAGGATTCTGTGATCTCATGGTAGTAAAATGCCAGAAAGAGAATTCTACACTGAAAGCTTGTTTAACTGCTTACTCTGCTGATACAGCCTTTTCTGGAGAGTGCAAAATGGAATACCTGAAAGGGAAGAATTCAGAAAAACTGGAATTCTTGCCAAGAAAAGGCTACCGAAGCTTCCTACAAGCATGTAGGCACATATTTAAATGACATCCAGGAACTGTAATATTTACAGAAGGCACAGACAGTCTAATTAACGCACTCAAGAGGAGAAAATGGCTTTGGCTTTATCCTAAATTATGGAAATGTTACTTTTATTTGAAGTAAAAATTTTTGTAGTTTGAAATAAAAAAAAGAAGTAGTTATATATCAAGAAAACATCCCAGCCCAGTCCAGTTCCAGTCCTTAAGTCGGATACCAGTCCGTCAGTCCCTCTTCAGACTCACAGACTCAGTCACGTGCAGTGATGCTGGAAGCAGGATTATCACACGCTGGTGGGTGCAGTCATGGAGGTCAGATGTTGGTGGCAACATCGCAGGGTTCCTTTGGGCAGCTCTCTGGGTCAAAAAGCGGGAAGGTCAAGGCAGAGAGGAGGCACAGGTTCCCTGGACCCTCCTTAATAAGAAGGCCATGCCCAGGGAGAGGCACCATCAGGCTGTGACAGGTTGAATACCATCCCCTCCCTTTTATATGTCAAGCTGACATGAGATTATATAACTACCACATCACCTATCAAGCAAACAAGTTTTCCAAAGGCAAAATAGTCACTTCAAATTGAAATACCCACCTGTGTGAGAGGCCACCTTCAGTAGCTAGCTCATCATTGGTAATTCTATGGTGATTTAGTTTTTTAACTGCAGCCATCATTTCATTGAAGGGGACAGTTTTCCCTCTGTTAGCTCTGAGATCTTCCTGAACTTCTTTGAACGCTTTATATCCAAAAACAGTTGTTTTGTGGGGGGCAGCATTGCCATAAACTTCCTGCAAAACGTTCAGTGATTTGGGGAAATGTTCAAACACATTTTGTTTGGATAAATCCATGCGTGTTTGAACTGAAACTGTGATATCAATACTTTCTGACTTAGGAATACTTGTGTATTCATAGAGCAAAATTCAAAAGAAACTTAATTAAAACTGTAATCCACAGTTCTTAACCTGGATCGCTGGGCAGGCAAAGTGTACGTAGGTGGTCCATGAAACTCCTGCAATTAAATACAAGATTTTGTATTTAAGGGGTTTCAAAGAGTTCATTGGAAAATAGAGCTAGAAGATAATGGGATTTTTCCTGAACATTCTGAAGCCCTCTTATTATAACATCAGATTCACATACACAATACTGAAAATCCATTAGTACTTAAAAGTTACTAAAATAGTTTGGGTTGATTGTAGAGGAAGTCTAATTAGGTATTACATTTTACTTCACCAGCAAACTTCTAAATTATTTGGCATTGTGTAGGAACCCCCCACCCTCATGTCATCTCGAATTTATTAGTGACTTCAAATACATGTTGTTTTGACTACAGTGGTGTTTATTTAGTTGATTGATTTGCAGGTGTCACTAAGATTTACGGTTTTTCCCTTTATTGCGTAAACATTATCTCATCTCTCTCCCCCCACCCCCATCCTCCTTGTTTTTCTTCCTGCAGCCTTTGGGATCATGCTACTATGACAGAAGTAAAATCTCTAAATTTTAATATGTCTGTTAGCAGTATGGAATATATTCCTGAGGGAGAGCTCTTGGTAATAACTTATGGACGAACTATTGCTTTTCATAGTGCAGTAAGGTATGTCCAAAAAATAATTTTCTTTTCTTTTTGAGTAATGAAGGGACAATGGATGGGGGATGGGGATAATGATGACAATTCTCATACTTAAGAATTTAAATGTATCTAAATTGTTTTTTAACGTTCATACAGTGATCAATGTATATGTATTTTTTTAAATTTTAGTTTGGATCCAATTAAATCTTTTGAAGCTCCTGCAACCATCAATTCTGCATCCCTTCATCCTGAGAAAGAATTTGTTGTTGCAGGTGGTGAAGATTTTAAACTTTATAAGTATGATTATAATAGTGGAGAAGAATTAGGTGAGTTTTCTTTCCTTGCCTTGCCCTTGCTTTTGACCTAAAGGCTAGAGGTATGAGCCTTCCCAGCATTCCTGTGGTAGACAAGTCCCGGGGATTGGTGTATGTGCCATGTGGGGTTGCCATGGCTGCAACATTGAGATAAAAGAGCATCGATATAGTAAAGAGCTTTGAGAAACAGTACTGTGCTGAAGGGTACGGTTTAAGTTGCCAGTACTATTAATGGGTGTGTTTTCCCACTGGATTCCATGGGCAAAAATATATAAGGATCAGTCTTGATCCAAGATGTTCTGTGTGACAGAATACCAGGCGTCCTCAAACTGGCCCGCTGGGTGCTTTTGCCCCGCTTTTTTACTTCAAAATAAGATATATACAGTGTGCATAGGAATTTGTTCATAGTTTTTTTAAAACTATAGACCGGCCCTCCAACGGGTCTGAGGGACAGTGAACTGGCCCCTTGTTTTAAAAGTTTGAGGACCCCTGGGACCCTTAGAGGCAATTTTAAGAAGCAAAGAGGATGTGAACAGCTCCATCTGGTGGCTCTCTGTAGTCATAAGAATTCCCTAGAATGTAGGCAATGAGGTAGGTAATGGAAATTGAGATTTAGAAATTGAGGTCAGGGGGAAAGATCTACTTTCTCTTATGTTTAGGTGGGCCTTGATGTACTCCTCCGCCACCTTCATGAACCTTGATTGCCTCAGGTTCTTTCGTAGAGTGACAACACGCAGCAATGATGTGTGCTAGAGTGGGAAGGGAGAATGGTACACATGATGTGCCACTCTGTTGAGAATGTATCTTTAATTAGGTAAAAGTCTGTGTATTTGCACTTAGGAATTGTGCATCGCTACGGTAACATGGATAATATTTTCTCCAAGCGAGTGCTGAGTTGATTCTGATCTATGGTGACTGCTCCACAGGGTGTTGAAGGCTATGGAGTTCTGTGGCATAGTGATTGTGCCTTGGACTTCGATCCACAAGGTCAGCAGTAAAGAGTTCCCATCTTGGAAACCCACCCGGGCAGGGACAGTTGTACCCTGCTCTGAAGGGTCACTGTGAGTCAGCGTTGACTCGAGGGCAGTGAGTTCAGTTTGTCCTTGCAGCCGCAGATCCCCGGGCCTTCATCTGGCGGAACCTCTGCATGGGTTCAAGCCACCTTTTGGTTGGTTGTCGAGCATATGACTCGCATTCAGTTACCTAATAGCCTCAGTCTCTTTTTCAGAATCCTACAAAGGACACTTTGGTCCTATTCACTGTGTGAGGTTTAGTCCCGATGGAGAGCTCTATGCCAGTGGCTCCGAAGATGGAACATTGCGACTGTGGCAGACGGTTGTAGGGAAAACATATGGCCTGTGGAAATGTGTGCTTCCTGGTGAGAGTTTTTATTCACGTTTATCTACCACATTAACTTGCATGACTTGGGGTCATATGTCATCATTCTGTATTCGTGTGTCTTGTCCCCTATAGATTTTAAGTTATTTAGTATGGAATAAAATAGATGCCCCTAAGAATGAATCGGCCACGGTGTTCTTTGGTTTGTTTAAATATTTTTGTGTGCGTCACTGTTAAATGTTCACAGTAGCTCCTTAAGTAAAAGGAATGAACCTAATTCAGAACCTACTAGAGGCCAACATAAATAGAGTCATTTTCAATAAAAGATACCCAGCTATTGATCTCAACCTGGTATGAGCCTAAACGTAGTTTTTTGAAGAGAGACATTGGTTCAGAATCACAGTTATTATATAAGGAGTTGTTCCTGTTGTGTATTTTACTTAATCCCATAGAAAAGTGTCGCTTACTTTTAATTTTAAGTGCTAGATATTCTAAATCAAATACTCATCATTATTTTCCTTTTTGTAGAAGAAGATAGTGGTGAGTTGGCGAAGCCGAAGATCAGTTTTCCAGAAACAACAGAAGAGGAATTAGGTAAATATTAATTCAGTGACTTGTAAGTCCTGGGGGAATGAGTTCATTTGAAATATTTTTTTAGTTTTACCTATTGCCAAAAGAAAATTTTCAAAAGTGAATATTTTGAACATAGGAAGTTTTCAGTTAATTTCATTTAACACATAAGACCAGAATTTCTGTTAGGCACTGAAGATGTTAGTCTAGATAAGACCAATGTGGTCATTGTAGTATAAAACTTAGCTTTCACTGAAAAGGTAGCTATAACAAAATTTAATTTTAAGGGGCTGACTCTGCTTGGCATCAGCAAAGGCTTCCTTGAGAAGTGACATTTAAAATAACAGGGACCTGAAGAATGAGCAGGGTTAAGTGACTTTATGAGGTGATGTTTTATTAGAGTGCTTTCTCTTAATGGAAAAGTTTACAGCCAGGAGGACAAAAGCATAGTAACTAAGACATGATGGAGAGCACTTAAGAGGAAACTAGAACCTCGTGATCCTTCAAGGTTAAAGTTCAAAGACAAGGCAATACTGAGAAGTTAGAGTGTTCAAACCCTTGTTTACTGTTAGGACTGCTGTATAAGAGCAATGAGGTTTCGATTTGACTTTTTCAAAGATTGCCTTGGCGGTTCCTTGAAGAATATGGCTGAGTACAAGAGTGAACATTGCCAAGTGGGGGCTTTATAAAGAAAGAAAAATTAGCATAGCACACTTTGGAAATTAATTAATCACATAATTTTTAATAAAAATACAGTAGACTAAAATGGCAATGTGAATAGAGAAAGATAGATAGAATTGAGAAACTTATAGAAGACTTGAAAGGATTTGGTAATTTTAGTATTTTGTAGCAAGGGAATATAATAAAATTCCATACTTTTGCCATGAAAAACTGATTACAGTTCACCAGTTTGAATTTTCCTTGTTAAGTACCTTCATGGGAGGAAGACATTGTTTTGTTTGTATGTTTGGTTGTTTGATTCACTATTATTTAACATTTCCTACATACCAAGTGCTCTTTCCCAAATCTAGAATTATAAATGAAATAGGCCCTGATCACTTAACGTTTATTTTACATTGGAATAATTAAAAGAGGGGCCAGATCTTTTAAAGATGTATGACTTTAATGCAGTGCTAATTTGTTAGCTGGAGTCATTGAAAATTGTTCGGAGAATATATGTTACAAACTAAAAGAGACCCCTGGGAAGTTTATAGTTGTCATAGAAGCATCTAATAGGTAAAATACATAAACTCTTCATTGACCAAATGCATTTGATCTCTCTCACTTCCCCTCACTGCAGCATACTTTAACAAACTTGTATCCCTTCACTACAAGGAAATAGTTGCTTTTTTTCCATTCTAAGTTGATTAATGTGATTTTTGTATGTATTTTAATTACAGAAGAAATTACTTCAGAAAATTCAGATTCCATCTATAGTTCAACTCCTGAAGTTAAAGCCTGATCATCAGGCATACGCCACAGATACAGTATGCAACGTACGGACTGAAAAAAGCAAGCAGAGAAACGCATGCATTTTACAGGGCTACTCTCTGCTAAAGGCAAACCAGGGCAGCAATTAAAGGGGAATCCGAATTAGCTCCAGCACGGGGACTAACCTTGGTTACCTGTAAGTGAGACTCAAGATGATCAGAAAGCAGGTGGAGTTAAGACAGCCTACTGTCCTTCAGATTGAATATGTGCAAGCCAACATCCAATTCCTCATGGTATAATTAGAATTCTTGTAGTTGTTTATGTTATTATGGAGAAAAAATATAATGGCCTATTTTTCTGACTTCCCTTAAAGCAGAAAGACTTTTTGCTTCAGTTGTAAACAAGAGGGAATGCATTTATAAAGTAATTGGTTTGATTTCTTTTCATTGTACACTGCTTCTGAACATCATCTACTTGTTTTTAGTTGTCTAAATAAAATGCCCCTAAAACAAGACAATGGTGGTTTTTTTTTCCCTTGAGAAAAACGGATCATTTTGAGGTTTGGAAATGGAGATAGCCATAGAGCTTGTCCTACATCCTGACATAAAAGGCAGCGTGCTTAAAGAATCTGCAGTAAACCTGGTGACCGAGTCTGAAATTCCATTGCTCCTACTGAGTCCTGGGAGTTTCTATGTTGCTCACTGGAACTGTGTTGACCTCACTTCTCCGCAGATTGACTAGGAATGCTTGACTTGCTTTTTTAAAAAGCGAATATTATTTTGGTGCAAATGCTGTTTATAAGGAAAACGATAGAATGGTTTAGACTTAATAGAAAAATCCCACCTTCACCATAAAAAACAACTTAAAATTTAGTGAACATCAGTACACACACTTATAATAGTTTTATTAAAATGAGATCTATACCTGCAGTGTTTTAAGGAGCACCGAATTTTTTCATCCTTTTTAAGTTGAGATAGCATTTAAAGGCTTTTTTACCAAATGTCTATTAAATTGGATCAATTGAGACTTTTAACACTTTACTCATATTTTGGAATATGGAGTTGGTATTAAATAGTAGTGGGTTCCACTACTTCGGTCCGGTTCCAACTCATTAAACACCCCTGGGCCCTGCACCATCCTCACACTTGTTCCTGTATTTGAACCCACTGGCAGCCAAGGTGTCAAAGCATCTCGTTGAGGGCCTTCCCCTCTCTGCCCCTCTAGGAATATTATTTGCCAGTATTATAATTCAAACACATGAGTTCTTCAATCCTCCTTCCTCTGTGTCCCCACTTTCATATGCATATGAGGTAACTGAAAATACCATGGCTTGGGCCAGTCCTCAAAAGAACATCCTTGCTTTTCAGTGCTGTGAAGAGGTCTTGTGCAGGAGCAGAGTTGCTCTGCATTGCAATGCGTCTTGATCTCTGACTGTTGCTTCCGTGTTGATTGGATCCAAATGAGACAAAATCCTTGACAACTTCAATCCTTTCCTTTTACTATGATGTACTTCAGTGCTATATTCTGTCGCCATATTTCCTTAATCTGTATGCTGAGCAAATACTCAGGCTCGCTTATATGAAGAAGAGTGCAGCATCAGGACTGGAGAAGGCTTAGTAACTGACCTTCGGTGTGCATGTGACACGACCTTGCTGGTTGAAAGTGAAGAGGTGAACCCATCACAAGGAACTACATATGACCTCCTCCCTGGGGGACGGACAACCGAAAAGTGGGTGAAGGGAGACATCGGACAGGGCAAGATATGACAAAATAATAATTTATAAATTATCAAGGGCTCATGAGGGAGTGGGGAGCAGGGAGGGGAAAAATGAGAACCTAATGCCGGGGGCTTAAGTGGAGAGGAAATGTTTTGATGAGGGCAATGAATGTACAAATGCGCTTTACACAATTGATGTATGTATGGCTTGTGATAAGAGTTGTATGAGCCCCTAATAAAATGATTAAAAAAGAAAGGAGGCATGGAAGACGCACACCAGCCTGTGTGATCACGAGGTGCCGAAGGGATCAGGTACCAGGCATCAAGAGAACAAAAATGCATTGTGAATGAGGGGGAGTGTAGATTGGGTACCCAAAGCACATCTGTAGGTAACTGGACATCCCCTTACAGAAGGGTTGGGAGGAGACAAGCCAGTCGGGGTAGTGTAGCAATGATGAAACATAAAACTTTCCTCTAGTTCTTAAATGCTTCCTCCCCTCACCCCACTATCATGATCCCAATTCTACCTTACAAGTCTGGCTAGACCAGAGGATGGACACTGGTACAGATAGGAACTGGAAACGGAATCCAGGACACATCCCTTAAGGACCAGTGGTAAGAGTGGCTACACCGGGACGGTGGGGTGGAAAGGGAACCGATTATAAGGACCTACATATAACCTCCTCCCTGGGGGACAGACAACAGAAAAGTGGGTGAAGGGAGACAGACAGTAAGTCATGACAATTATAAATTATCAAGGGTTCATGAGGGGGGGTTGGTCAATGAGCTGATGGCAGGGGCTTAAGTGGAGAGCAAATGTTTTGAGAATGATGAGGGCTACAAATGTGCTTGACACGATAGAAGTATGGATTGTGATAAGAGTTGTATGAGCCCCCAATAAAATGATTTTTTTTAAAGTTCATAATTAAAACAACCAAAACCCTGAGTTGAAATAGTGATGGTTGCACAACACGGTGAATACAGTTGGTGCTGCTTGATGGCACATGTACAGAAGGTCCAGATGGTGAATGTTTTGTGACCAACGTAATACAATTAAAAAATTTTAAAAAGTGAGAAGGACTTGAGCCACTTGCTGATGAAAATCAAGAATTGCAGCCTTCAGTTTGGATCACAATTCAAGTAATGAGCAGACCAAACTTCACAACTAGACCACTAGGTTATATCCTGATAAATGGATATTGCCTAGTAATTTGTAAATACTTTAGACCTATGAGTAATACATCTGCTAATTGGCTTTTTCTCATTTTGTCTTGTAAATCGGGTGGGGAACATCGTTCTGCCAAGGCCATTTGGATATTTGTAACATTTGCAGGCAATACAAAATTATTAACTTAAAAAGTCTGCTATATTTGGTTAACCATTTAATTAACTCACTCTGGCAGTTTGGAATGTGACCACAAACTGCTTTTCTCTGGTCAAGTGTATTTATTTCACAAGCCTTAAAATAATCAGTAAGCTGGACATACCCCACCACTGTTGTAAATGATTCATATAATCAGTACAAAAGAATAAGATGTGATCTGGAGAATTCATGATGACAAGAAGTACTGCAGATTTTACCTAATTTAAGGTGCCCACTGGTGATCCACACAGCATCTCGGGGTGGGGGGAGTATTGGGGGGGTTAAATTCTTTTGTTTGCTTGCCCTCTTCTGTGCAGCAGTATTAGTGTACCAAGAATTACTTAATCAGAGACTGACCCTAATAAAGTTGACATCTACATACACCAGATTTGGATCCAAAGTCGGTTGGCACTTTAAGTTGCACAAAAGTCCAGAAACATATCCAGATCTGTGTATGTGCAGAAGTGGTTACCCTTGTCAGGTAGTGCTGAGTCAGTCTCAATGCAGCCAGCCCTGTGTACAAGGAGAAAACACTGCAGGTCCTGCCCTATCCTCACAATGGTTATATTGACTACTGGGCAGCTGCAGTCATTGATCCTATTGCAAGCCTTCCCTTTTTTTGCTGACCATCTACTTTTTTTTAACATTTTATTAGGGGCTCATACAACTGTTATCCCAATCCATACACACATCAATTGTGTAAAGCGCATTTGTACATCGTTTCTC